TTTCGCAAGGCACTGTATATACCATATCAACATTTACACACATTTTCACTAAAAATAGTCAGGATAAAAAGCTGTAATAAAAGCAGGTTAAAAAGCACCCACATGTGTTGTTAAGTATACTGTAGAATAATTGCTACCCCGTGTAAAGTCATGCTCTTTACCCAGCACTGGTGTTTCTGTAACTAAAACACAGGCTGGCACACACAGCTCTCTCTGTTCATGTTTGCAGGCCATCCAGGTCCAGCTTTGGCACAGTTACTCACTTTGCATTTGACTTCATCTGTATCCAGCAAGTTAATGAGGACTTCAAGGCCACCTACGTCCCGGATGGCCAGTTGGCACGTCTCCTGCATCAAATTAAGGTCCATCATGGCACACAGAGTGAGCACAGTGGCTGTCTGGTCGCCTCCCTGAAAGTATAGTGTCAAGTATGAATGAATAACAATTGGAAACAAACAGAAAGAAAGAACATTATTTTTCAAAAACCCGCGTTCCCCTGCCCTCCCTCTTCCTGTGTTGTTTCCCCCTTAACACTATTCTTGCTGGGGTATTTTTTTGTACCAAAAGTGGGTATGTGTTCAGTTGTGTTGCAAAACACCAATGGAAATAAATTATTTGCAAATAAAGCCCCGTGCTCTGACAACAGCGCCATGCCCACAAACCATCAAACATAAGATAAAAACAAACACTGACACGGCCTAAATATCTGCTCTTTGATTTGAACTTGGGACAGAAAAATTGAATGGATTAACGAATTGCTAGGTTTTATTAATAATTATTCAATATAAAGATTTAAGATAGTCATATTGTGATCAAATCCCAACACATGCAGCAGCAACATTTACTCTATTTTACTGTTTTCTTCTAAATTTAGTATCCAAATTTTTGTTGTCTTAAGATTCTGCTCACACTGAATAAGTCCCACATAATGTCCTAGCTGTGGTTGAATGTTGACAGCATCTTGGAACTTAAAATACAAGTCTTAGGGTTAGTGCTTTGAGATGGTTAAAGTACTTTCCAGGCAGGCAGCAATGAAGTTCTTAAATTACCATATTTAGTCTGTATCAAATGTAGTTGCATAAGAAACTTTGGTTATATGCAATGGTTTTGGTGATGAGAGGGGAAAATACCAATAGTCAGATGGCACAAAAAGACAAAGGTTACCTGCTATAATATCTGCTAAATAGTTTTGATATATGACTGAAACATCCAGTCCAAAATCTTCTAGCAAGTGAACAATCAAGTATGGCTCCTTTTTGCAGTGGTTTATATGCGCTACAGCACAAGGATGCCTCCACCTTTCCAGAATCCATATGCCTTTATTAGTTGCACACTTCACAAACAATTTGAAAGTTCAGGGCCGTCTTAAATAAGTTTCAACCAAACATGTCCTGCAATCACTTCCCCATATAAGTGGAAAACAGCCCATCACGTATAGAAATGGGACAGGAATCATCATTCAGCCATTGGAGGAAACGGCTCATCAGTGTAGACCTATGCCAAAGTCTCAAGTGGTGTTTGATCATATCTCCCTCATGAAACAGTACTCTGGAAAAGCAGAATAGCAGCCACATGTGTTCTCCATATCATGATGCTGTCTTAAATGTGAACCATTTGCCCATTAACAGTAGTGGATATACTGTACTGCTTCCTTTGTCTCCTCCATTCTCACTCTTCAATGGAGTCGACAGGCGAGGTTCCTACAGTGTAAAAATAAAAGCTATGTTTGGGAGTGATATCTGGGTGAACAGAAAACAGATCGTATGCTTTTATTTCTGTTAGCTCTGGTCTTGAAGTATTAAAACACTGACAAGCTCTGACAATCTTTTATGGTAAAATATCTTACTGTCTCCAAGCATGACAGGGGGAGGCTCCTAGTGGAACAAATTCAACTTCTGTTTGACCTCTGAACAAGAAACTGAAAAAATAGTTCAATATCTGTGCAATGCTACACCACACAGTGAATGCCATGGCCTGCAAGAATAGGCATTTCAGCCATCAGCAATGTCATAACAAGACTAAGTAAGCATTTTTTAATACAGGGTATTGGGAAACCTAACCTGATTCATACTGATGATTCTATATAGTCTTTTTCAAAAGAAATTAAATATTTATGGGTCTATTTATTAAACCTGAGTGAGCTTCTACTATTAAAAAATTGCAACTAGTAATGGCAACAAGGGATGTCTTGGTGAATTTTGCCTAATGAAAGATTAAATAAGATCCAGCCATGCTAGCAGCTCCTGTTTGTTGTAGGTTGTTGTGCTTTAAGCTAAACATCAGCATGTTAACATGGTCACAATAACTAACTATTCTGTTTGACCAGGCCTTTTGGGCTTGGCATGGCAATGCTATTAGAGTCATTAAGGGAGATTAAGATTAGAGTCATAAATGCTACGCTACAGTTTTTCCCAATACCTACATATTAGACATTTTATACAAAACAACTGCCTTTCTAATGCAACCCCCAGGTACCCCCATAGATGTTCCTTTAGGATTTGATATTACTCTCAAGGTTGCTATTTCATGGATTTAGAATGTAATTAATGCTATCAACCCACAATCTCTGAACAATCTAAGGACATTTTGGGAACAAGGGTTAGGTGTGTCTTTGGCAGAGGACCAGTGAGCTTCAATTCTTAACTTGGTACACTCCTCCTCCCCACATGCTAGACCTGGGTTAATATAGTTTAAGATAGTTCATTGTCTCCCTCACACTAAGGAGAAATGGGCAAAGATACAGTATGCCCTAACAAGGATCCCAATTGATACTGATGTAAATCTGCAACTGCAACCTGGTTACATATGTTTTGGTTGTGCCCAAGTCTGCAGATGTTCTGGAAAGGGTTTTTTGATTCCTTTAGTGACATGTATCATATGACTATTGAACCTCTTCTTGTTATTGCTTTGTTTGGGCTGAGGCCCAGTGATGCAATGTGGCCATCTGAAGTGTGTAATGAGATAGCGTTCTTAGCTTAGCATCTCATCTTCCTTATCGGAGATCAGTGCTACCATCTCATGGTAGATGGCTTAGAGAGATTACTGTATGCTTATCTGAAGCTTGAAAAAAACAAAATCACACTCAAGGGAAATGTAAATAAATTGGAAAGAGTCTGAAGGCCTTTTCTAAATTACTATGACAACTTAACCCATATAACAGATTGGGAGAGTTCATAATTAAAATTCTTTTTGGTTTGGAGAAACTTCTCTTATAGATATAAGAATGAGTGAATATTCTTTTTTACTGTTCTTATTGCATTCCTTTAAATGAGCTCATTGTATACTAGCTGTGGATTTATCTGTGTCTGATAGTTCTGATTTGATCATCCTGGGAGGATGATGGGGGATATGGTAGAGAGTAGAGGAGCAAGGGGGATTATTTTACATGAATAAAATGTATTTAAAAGAAAAAAGAGAACTTAAAGGAATATCACCATGCTATAAAAGTAGATATTACTTATTAATCAGTAGTTTAATAGCAGGTCATATTATAATTATCAAAGACAGCTATATAAATGCTTCATCCCTTACATAATCAAAAATAGGTTTAGAAGAAATTAAGCAGTGTGAAAAATCTACTTCCATTCATGAGATGAACTTGATATTGACCACTTAAAGATGCTTTACACATTTTGTTTCTTCCTTTACTGCAGGTGTCTTAGCCTGAGCTACTAAATAACTAAAGCCTTCACTCTGCTGAATGAAGGTCTTATTCTAGTGTGGTTCCTTTGCAGCAACAAACTGGGTTCTGCAAACACAGGCTGCCCTGCCAGAGCCTCTCCAGGCCTATAAATCACTCTGTGTGGAAGCTGGGATGGGGTTAACAGAGCTATCAGTGATATTCTGTTGACCTCAGGCCCTTTCCTTCATGGAGTTATGTATATTTTGTGCAGTGAGTGAGTGTGTTATTGTATTTGCTATATAGTGAGGATGAAAAAAGTACTTTTTTTGCTACAGAGTGAGGGCATTTTTGGAAGGTGAGGACATTTTAGCCAGTCCTCACTTTCTGAAACACCTTTTTGAGGGTTAAGACTTGGTTTTAGGATTCAGGTTAGAATTAGTTTTAGTGTTAGGCATAGGGTAAGGGCATGGTTGGGCATTTAGTTCTGATGGTTAAGGTGAGGGTAAGGGGTTAGGGAATGCATTATACCAATGAGTGTCCTCACAAAGATAGAAGTATAGTACCATTGTGTGTGTGGGTGTGTGTCTGTGTGGCTTGGACTTTATGCCAGCAGGGGAATATGTGCATATTCATCTTAAATGCTCAGATAAATATGACTATATCTGCAATGTCGGGCTGGTGGCAGGTGGGCTCAGGCCATGGCCAGTGCCTGGGTCTTGGCAGAGGTTAAATCATAGAGGATGCATGAAGTTTCATAAGTCTCTGCGATCTACAGCAGACTAAGAGGGAATACCACTAACAACAAAACAAAACCAATCTTGTTTTCTGTTTTAGAAAAGGTACTGTAGGAACAGAATGAATGGTTAACGTGGGGTTGTGGGGTAACAGTTGTGCGGTGGGTAGAGCAGTTGTCTCCCAACCGGAAAGTTGAAGGTTTGAATCTCTTTGCGTGCCGTCCACATGTCAAAGTGCCCTTGGGCAAGACACTGGACCCTCAAGTTGCCCATGATGGCGGCATGTATGCACACAGTGGCCCGGGGCCCTCGGCTCCAAGAAAAATTTTGTTGTACGTGTTACAATGACAATAAAATAAAGCTTTTTCTTCTTCTAATCTTTTTTTTTTCCTTACATCATATTTGACATAGGATCTCCTAACATAACACTTTATAGGCCTTGCTATCATAACATGAGCGTGGTGCCTACTGACTAAATGTCTGAGTAAATTCTTCACATTAGACAAGCAGTGAATGCATTAAAAGCAGTGAAAATGTAACATTTTTATGAAAACCTATAGTTATTAAAAAGCATAAAAAATGCTAAACAATTTAGATCATAACTGCTTACAACTCACTTCTGATGAGAAAATTTATCCAGATACTAGCTGTTGTTCACTAAAGAGAGGATTAGTTTAAGTGGAGAGACTAGTAGGGTCTGCTGAGAGTAGAGCAGGGCAGTAGTACTGTGACTACCTAGCAGAGGGGGAGCAACTTTGACGAATGCTGAATACAAAACCATGCGTCAACACTCAGATCTGCTTGTTAATCTAGAATACTTTTGCACTTAAAGTAAATGTATAGTAATAGAAGCACAAATTTCAACCTGTGGGGAAAGGCTGCACTAATTGTGACACTTTTTGAAAGATGTTTCATTAATAATTTTGATGAGTGATTTAAAAAATTATGAAAACGTCATCTGCGCAGTAATAAACTAAACTATGATGCTGTTATGAAGCTGGTTACAACTAACAATGTTGAAATGTGTACCTTTTAATTACTACAGTTACACATT